GCCAAATGTAAAACAACTATACGTGGGATTCCAAAACTGAGCCAGAGCTCTAAATAGATTCCGATCAATCGGGACATCAAGGAGATATGAAATGTCACAATGGAGTTGATAAAACAACTGCTTATCGGACGCTTCCAATCTTCCCCAAAACTCTTTCAACCTATTCAGATCATTCTGACAAATGTTAATGTGAGTATACCCTCTCAGCTCTGATATATGCCCTAGCGATAAACTGTCTCCATTTGTTAGTTAAGACTGTTCAGACCATATCAAGACGTCTGCATTGTCCTCTACTTCTTTTTGAATCATTCGTTCCATAATACTAGTCTTATATATGGACATCAGTCATGGATTAACACCAATGAAATGAATAGTGCAATGCAGATGAGGACAAAGTAAACAAAATGAAAGAAAATTGTTCAGTAATCACAAATGAATTGATTAATCATAATTCAGTTTATCGAGAAAACCTACCCCACATGTTAGCTACCCAATCATGCTTTAGTATATCCTACCCAAACATGATTTCTACCCATATGCTCTGTTTATAAAACATCCTAACGTCATGCTATCTAATTCGCATGCTTATTTGAAAAAAAATAAACCTAAACCGCATGATCTCTAGTTCACATACAGTCATTCGAGAAATTAAAATTACACTAAAGAATGCTCAAATAAGCTTTTCCTTGTGCACTCTCCTCACTGGATCATATGGTCTGGATAATGTTGTATATGGGTTTTAAGTTTACTACATGTTGGGTTCGATTCTAAAGTAAGGGGTCATCGAATTATCCTTTGCCGGTGCCCTTTTGGGCTCCGAACCCTCAATCCTAGCCCATCACAGACTTTTGGATCGAGTTCAATTCGAGGGGACACGCTTCTTTATGTCATTGCGGAGGTGAAATCCTCAAGAGGATCATAAGGCGTGAGCCCAAGGAGCATTTCATTATCCCGCACAGAGGTGAAAACCACACGAGGGAGTAGCTACTTACTCATACTTAAATAGGACAGAGCGGGGTTTTAGCTCATGTTATGCAAATGCAGTTGTGTAGTGTGTGAGGAAAAGCTAAACAAAGCAAACAACACTGAATAGAAAACTCAAGACCCTGAACAATTATTTACTCTGACAGGATCAAAAACCAAATTAGAACAAACTTGTAATTTTATTTGCAAATACAATTAATTAATCAACTAATGGTCTGACTCTCTAAAAAAAAGTTTCCCCAGCAGAGTCGTCAAGCTGTCGAAACGATTTTTTTCGGATGAGATTTTAAAAACCACACCATTTTTAATTTATTTCTTCGTGATTGATTTTTTAATTAAAAACAATGCGATATAGAAAAACCTCTCATTTCAAAAATTTGGAAATTCCTTTACGAAAACAAAAACGTACAGTTCGAAGAGTCGCCACCAATATTTGATTAGGGTGTAATTGGTCACCCAAAAATAAATTTGTCATTTTAATAAAATGTTAATTTTAATTCAAAAGATAAACTTTGGGTCTGCGTTACCAAAATTTGAGTTCAGGAGTCGGTTACGTGTGGGGAAGGATTAGCACCCCCACAACGTCCTAAATCAGTACCTAGTCGATTAATTAATTGTCTTTGCAATAAAATGTACAAGTTCGAGTCTAATTTAATTTAAGATCCCCTAAAATAACATTTTTCGAAATTTTGGATGAAAGATAATAATATTTAATTATTTCCTATCGAGAAGAAATAATCTATCATATATTGAAGCAATCAATTCTTACTTCAATCGAAATAAAGAAATATTAAAATTTCATTCTAAATTTCAAAATAATAACACCCAAAATAATTTTTAGAGATAAAATAATAATATTTAATTATTTATGATCGAACATTATTATTTTGAAAACCCTTTAAAACACATACAAAAGTTAAAAAAAACCTATCAAACAATTGATTAATTATTTATTTTACCAATATTTAATGAGAATAAAGATATTCAATTAATTAAATATCAAGAGACGATACCATAGATTCGATCTAACTGTCTTTTCTCGATGAATTTAATTAAAAGAATACGATCTTTTCCTCAATCCCCAAATTTTATAAAATGGATTCGATTTAATTGGTGTCACTTGGCGGGATAAACTTTCATTTTAAAATTATCGAAAGTAATTTTCTTATCCGTTAAGACAGTCACTTTACAACAATATTAAAATGCTCGAATATTACCCTTAATCAATTTATTTTGAATCAAGTCAAGTGATGTTGATGAGGGTATCATGCGAAATTAATTAGGACTAAAATGAACTAAAATGCAAGCAACATGCAAAAATTTATAAATAAACTTAAACAAATAGGACTAAATCACAAATAATCAAATTTCATGCCAAGGTTAAAATAAAACCAAATAATCAAGTGATTAAAAATAAACAATTTCAATATTAAAGGCTAAAATTGCAAATAATGAAAATAAATAAAACATTTGACTAAATTTAAATTAATTAAAACTCTATGGTCGAATTTAAAAAAACTGAAAACATATATTGGTGCTCAAAATACAGAGGGTTGTAAATAAAATATTCCTAAAAAATAATAATCAGACCTAAAAAATGAAAATTACAGAAACATTCCCTTAGGGTGCGTTTGGTTTACTGAATGGAAGATTACCAGTAGGAATAAAAGATTACCAGTAGGAATAAAAGATTACCAGGGAATAGGATTACTGGGAATGCTGTATTTTGTGTTTTGTTGGTTTAGGAGGAATGTAAGATTACCGTGTTTGGTTAAATGAATAAAAGATTATTGTAATGTATATTTGACCAAATTGTCCTTATTATATATTTGTTTTTTTAACAAGTTAGAAAATATTTATATATTTTCTTTAAAAAAATTAAATTAATAAAATATATATTTTTTTTACAAAATTGAAAATATAAAAAGGTTTAATGAAAGGGTAAAATTTTATTTTAACCCTTGAACTTCATATAAAATTTTAATTATAGATTTTTTTTATAAATCTAAAATAGTTTAAGGATAAATTTGTAATTTAACCTTCGTATAATTTTTATTATTCAATGACAGAATAATGATATTTAAAAAAATTAAGGGCATTTTAGTCCAAAACACCGGTAATCAAACAATGCTTAAGGAAAGAGAGGTAATGACCTTCCCGGTAATATATCCCAAAAAATCTACTATTGTTAATATAAGATTACCGGGAATGATATTCCCGGTCAACCAAACGGGGGAATGTGGATTCCATTCCCATGGAAATCTCACATTCCCCCAACCAAACACATCCTTAAGGAAATAACATGTAAAACACGCATAAATTGTGGAGGACTAAACTGTTATTTTACTAAATGTTATAAAGCATAAATATAAAAATGGAAAAATAACAAAAACGATCCCCAGTGATCATTTTATAAAACACACTTAAACATAGGGGCTTTATGATGTAATTTTACCCTAAATTACCTCTATATATATACCATTCATTTTATTTTTTTCATTTTCATAAAGATTTCAAAAAAAAGGAAAAAGAATTAGGGAGAAACTCTCCCAACGTGGCTCGGCCGGTCGATCACCGGCAACCACGAACCACCGCCAAACTCCAATCCGATCACCGCACACGGTGGTCGGAATTCCCAAAACCACCCAAAATCACTCTCTCGTCTAAATCTAACCTCTTAGGTAGTTATCTTAGGCAAAAACGACCCTAAACACCTCTAAAAATGAGACTCAAAGGTGCCCGAACATTCGACTCCTCATGCACTCCGACGACCGTGAAGATTTTCCCGACTATGGTAAGTTTCCTTCTCTTTTATACTCTAGATTTTCTCTTTATTTTACGTGCAAATCTCACTTTTTTTTTTATTTCATGTTCGGTTTTACTTCTAATATAAACAAATAATACTAAAAAAATAAATACGTAATATACCTTTCGAATAGGTGTGTTTTATTGCTTTACTGTTGTTCTGAAAAATCCAAGGATTCGAACCCCCTTGATTTTACATTGATTTCGGCTTTTATAGCCTAAATTTTCATAGGTTTAATATAAAATACAAATTAGTGGGATATATTTATCCCATAAAACAATGGATAGTGGTGGGTTGTATAATTAAAAATGGTTCTAGGTGGAAACATGATGGTGGTGAGCTTGTCCACACATTTTAGTGGAGCAATAAGTGGAAATGAGTTGTTACTTAGTGGAGCAGTAAGTGAAAATGAGTTGTCTACAATTATAATATTAAATCTTCATTTTGATTTGATATATTTGATATTTTGAATAAAATTAATGACCTCTACTAGGAAAACATTATAGGGTAAATTACTCATTTAATATCTCAATTATTTCTTTCATTCTGTTTTAATCATCAAACTATTTATATTTTTAAAATAATATCAAAATTAATTCATAATATTTATTTTATATAATCATTTAAATTTTAAATTTTGGGAACAATTTTATCTCATAATAAAATGATTATTTTAAATTTTGGGAACAATTTTATCTCATAATATTTTATTTAAAAATAAATAATTTTTAATATTTAATCAAATAGTTATCTTGGTCCTTATTTTTTAAAATATTTTATTTTAAGGTGAAAAATTCTTTATTTTAAAATATTAACTATCAATTAACTAACTATTTCTCTCCCATGAATATTAAAATATTTTTGATATCTGATTATTTTATATTGTTTCAACATTCATCCTTTTTCTTTCAACGATTTCTTGATTATTTTACACAAGGAATAAATTTCATGTATGATTTTGTGATATTAATTTTATATTAAATTCCTCAACATTTTGATTGAATAAATGAGTATAACAACTCTTTCAAGAAATATACGAAAACAATCTAGGAAAGGAACGGAAGAGAATCGTCCCTTACCCTCTAACCGTTTCGAGCTTTGATCTCAGCCTCTGTCTGAACCAATCGGCGTCGGATTACATTCTAGCCTTCTGGTTATTCGAGAGGCTTTCGCATTCGTATTTTCAAATCTGGGGGGAAAAAAGAAGATGAAATGTCCATGGCTTCTTGTGGGACAATGGAAGAAGAAAGAAAACCCATAGTCCCCGTCAAGAGGCCCGAGTTAAACTCACCAGAAACATCGGGAACCCGATATCGCTGGTTTTTAGAATCGATTTCTGCCTCCTAACTAAGCCAAATGCGAAACTGAGATCTCATTCACATGGCTACTCAAAGAGGCAAACTGATGAACCACCGGAGTTATAAGAAACTGATTAAAAATTTAGGCAAAGTGATCGGATAGACGACGATTTGTAGGGTTTTGAGAATTGATTGGAGAGGAGCGGCGTTGGTTTTAATAGGTTGGGACTGGGAGCCGATCGATTAGGGTTTTTTTTATTGAGGCTTACTATATTGTAGGGTAAATTACACGTTTAGTATTAAATATTATTTTATTTTTTTAATACTTAAATTTTATTTTTTTAATCAAACTTAACGTTAAGAAATTAAGAACTGCTTATGTGAATTTTTTTAATTTCTTTCAATGATAAGATTAAAATATTTTATGGTGACACATCGACATCGTCATTTTTAAAGGCGGAGTATCAAACTGAAATCTAAACTAAACATTAGGAAGGATTTTGAAATAAAACAAAGTTTTGGTACCAGTGGAATTACCCTATATAGTATTGGTTTGTGGAATTACATATATACCCTTTCATTTTGTTTTGAATTTTCTCTACTTTAATGATTTAAGAAAACTTAGGCAGTCGGTCCAGTGGGCTCTGCCAGTGGGTTTAAAAAGCCACAATACATGTTTATTACGTGAAATATTTATATTTTGTTTGGATGGATTTCAAGATTTAAGGATTGTTACAACCTATTACGTGGATTAGCAGTAAAAAGGAAATAATATTTTTTTTAGAAAGATTTAGGTTTGAGGGGTTTAAAGAGTTACGTAAATAAGATGTGCGTATTGTCAAGCTAGGCTCAGTTAAAATTTATTTAACGTTATCCGAGTTGATTCGAATCAAACTCAAACTCGACTCAATTAAAACTCGTTCAACGTTCGATCCGGGTTGATTCAAATCAAACTTGAGTTAGACTCAAGACTTTAACAAGTTGAGTTGAGCAAATTCTAACTTGACTCTAAGTTTACAAACTATTCGTTAATTTTTTACATAAATTTGTAGTAATTACCTTAAAAACTATTTCATTCCAAAATAGGAAAGAAAATCAAAATAATAATTATGAATTTGCTAATAGATAATAAGTAATATGTTAAATTATTAACTAATAATTATTATATTGATCAAGTAAAAAATATATTTTCTCAATTTTATTGTTTGGTGATTACAAATAATAATGAATGGAGAGAAGAGACGTTGATTTTCTTATTTTTAGGATTGATTATGTATTATCGACTTCTTTTCAAGAATATTTTTAATATCTCAGTATGATGTATTTGTGAATTGTTGCTTTGGTTTTAATATGGTAGTTTGATGCATTTGTAGATTGTTACTTTAAAGTTTAGACTTTGAAATTGTTTCATATACTCTTTTGATAACTTAACGAGCTTAACTAGCAACGAGTCGAGTTGAGCAACAATTATTTTAACGAGCAACGAGTTTTTTAACAGGCACTAGTCGAGCAAAATTTTAACTAGCTTAACTAGCAACAAGTCAAGTCGAGCAACAAAATTTTTAACGAGCACAAATCGAACACTGTCCAACTCGAGATCAACTTGCTTGATAAACTACAATATACTATATTATAATCACCTCAAAACTATTCAAAATATTTTTTAAAGATTACTATATTAATTAATAAAATTCCACAAACAAGAGACAATAATGTTACCACATGTCACCTATTAGTATAATTATTATTATTATTTACTATTATATTTTTATAATTATTAAATTTGATTATTGATTAATTAATTTAAATTATATTTTAAATTGTATCTTTTTTTAATGATTTTTATTTAAATGAAATGAATTAAAAAAATATTACAAAGCTTAAATTTCAATACTTGCTATTACGACATAATTTGTACTAAATTGTTAAAGGATAAGGAAGCGAAGGACTACTTAACCAGCCAAAATACAACGAGGAACAAATTGACAACTCACCCATAAAAGCAAAAAATTTCAGGGTAAACTGCACGTCTAGTACCTCAACTACACTTTTATTTTATTTTAGTCATCCAACTATGTATTTTAAAAGCATGCTTAACTTTACGTTTTGACCGTTAAAATATTAACAGAACTGATGACGTAGTATTTTTTTTTTTTTCAATGATAACGTGATATTACTTTATATTTACACATCAATATTATCATTAATTTTTTAATAACAATTGATCAAAAATAAATCAAAAATAAATATTAAATATGATATTGAAAAATAATTGTGTGAACAAAACGAAACAAAAATGATAGTTGAGATATGAACATGTATTTAGCCCAAAAAAATTGAGGTGCACTAGAAATATAAGCAAACAAATAATTTCATTAGATAGAGTCAAATTATACATTAAAATAGAAAACAAAATGTGAGAATACATCCACCAATACACAACAAAAATCCCAACCAATAATAAGAGTTGTATGCCCTTTGTAGAGAAAGAATAAAAGAAAGCAACCCCACATGAAACGTCAACAACATAAAAGAAATGCCACTATTTCATCAAACGCCACCCATTTTAAAAGAGACCAAATAGAGCACAAGGGAAGCAAACACCGCCGGCACGAACACGGTGGTGTCGGAGTAGGGCTAGGGGCCGGGCATCGGCTGCGGCAACGTTCTGGATCGTTGACGCGGCGGCCATCAACACGACCGCCAGGGGGAAAGGTAGCCTCATCCTCAATGCCTCCATTTGTTGAAGTCTCTTCTTGGCAAAATGTTGTTGCAAAAGAGAAGATAGAAATATTTGGAGACAAAGGAAATTGAGACCACAAGTAATGGGGGTGACAGAAAGGTGGATTTATAGACAACATGTGATGGGGCATGAGAAAAATTTATGGCCAGCTTTCATGTAGTGATGAAAATAATTAAACAAAAAGTTGAGAGTGTCATCATTAATTCACTTTAGTTTGTTATGCTTTTTTATATATCGGTATTTTTATTAATTAATTAATTAAATTAAATACTATAAAGACAAGAACGATCATTAATTTAATTTTTTATTCGTAAATATTAATTTTCAAATTTCTATCTTATTTAAGAGATGATTGTTCTGTTTTATTTAATTTAGTCTATTTCATTTTAGTTAAATATATTTTATAAATTTAATTATTTTAACCTAAAATTTAGGTATAGAATCAATTTAATTCTATATATATTTTTTTTAGAAATACTATCATACCCCCCCTTATCCCATTACAATGGAAATAGGGTCACTACTTTATTATTTGGGCTGCGCGTTAGTTGGGACAGGGTGGTTTTAAGTTAAGCGTAGGTGTCATACAGCTGTTTCCACGTTTCTGTGGAAGGGACCTTTGCTTTTGTCCAGTTGCCTTAACTACCACGGTTTCTCGGGTAATGTGGACAGCTCAATTTCATATAAAACCTTTGGGTAAACTAACGTTTAGTATTTAACTATTAGTTTTCATTCTTTTAGTCTAAATTTTTATTTTTTTCAAAATCATATCTAATATTTAATTTTTATTTCATTTAGTACCCCGTTTAAAACTTAACGTTAAGTTTTTAGAAAAAATTGAAAAACACATAAATTTTTAACGGCAGGTACTAAAATGAAACAAAAATTAAAAGTTAGAATAATTTTGAAAAAAAAAGTTTAGATACTAAAATATATTAAAATTAATAGTTTAGATATTAAACATTATTTATCTAACTTTTTTATTCAAAAAAATGGACACATTACATAAAGACTATTTCAACATGAATGTAAGATTTTACGTCGGATGATGAATTATAAAAATTTTAAAATTTTAAAGATAAAAATAAATTATTAATAAAATACATAAAATATCTAAAATATAATAAAAATTTAAATAAATATCTATTTTTTTCAAAAAAATGGACTACATTACATAAAGACTATTTTCAACATGAATGTAAGATTTTACGTCGGATGATGAATTTATAAAATTTTAAAATTTTAAAGATAAAAAAATATTAATAAAAAATACATAAAATATCTAAAATATAATAAAATTTAAATAAAAAAAACTACACCACCTACCCTCGATTTATCGCTGATTTCAATCCTACGTGAAACTATGTTCCCGGTTTGAGTATAACTTTTATTAGGTCAATCTTGGTATTTGATGTGATTAGTTAATATTTTTAATTATTATTTTAAGGGATTTTTCTTTTTTAGAGTTTGGGTATTGTAGCGGATATTTTTAGTGCGTAGTTTTTAATTAATTATTGAATTTTTAGGGTAAATAATGTATTAGGTCATCAAATTATTTTACAGTTATGTTTGTATCATTCAACTATTTTTTAATTATATGTAAACGTATGTTTTTGTTCCGTTTTAATCATCTACCATTGAAAATAAACAGAACTATAGATTTTTTATTTTTTATTTTTTCAATGATAAAATTACATTATCTTATAGTGAAATATCAATATCACCATTAATTTTTTTAACGATAGATAACCAAAACGGAATAATAACATAAGTTTAAGTATGATTTTAAAAAATAAAATAACTATATGACAAAAAAGGAATCATATGAATAGTTAAGTGACTAAATAGTTTACCCAATTTTTATTGGAAAAGTATAAGATGGCGTGAGCTGTTGGGGGCTCTTTGACTCACTGGCATCCACAAATTATCATGCCATTTGCCCCTACAATCTTATGCTATGCCCCCTTGAAAGGATGGCTCTAGAGATCACTATCAACTTATAGGGTAAATTTGTGTTTAGAACCTAAATTATTAGTTTTAATCTGTTTAAGTACTTAAACTGTCAATTTTTTAAAAATATACCTAACATTTAATTTTTATTTCATTTTAGTACCACCGTTAAAAACTTAACGTTAAGTTTTGAAAAAATAAAATTTTAAGTACTAAAATAGACCAAAACTGATAATTTAGGTACTAAACACATTAATTTTTTAACATCGAGGTACAAAAATGAAAGAAAAATTAAACGCTATATATGATTTTAAAAAAATTAAAAGTTTAGGTTCTAAAACGAATTAAAACTGATAGTTTAAGTATA